CCTGTGCGCGGCCTTGCTGCGGCAGGGAGGACGGGGCAAAGTAGGACAGGGGGGAGGGGGAGAAGGGAGAGTGGGAGGATGCAGGTTACGACGCTTAGGTCTGGGTGGGCATTTGATGGGCGTGGAAGGGGTGGAGGTACTGCTAAAGGTCTTGAGGGCGGGGGCGTGTCCGGCCTTGCGCGAGTTGGACCTGACCGACAACGCCTTGGGCGACGAAGGGGCCTGTCTGGTCGCAGAGTGGCTGAGGGGATGGGAACGAGGGAGGGAGGGATGGGGAGGGGGGACGCAGGACCGTCCCTGGGAGGGGAAGGAAGGGAAAGAGGAGCAGGAAGACGTCCAGGTCACTACCCCGCCTCCCCTCCGCCAGCTCTTGCTGGGGCACAACGGCATCGCCGGCGCGCTTTTCGCCGTCCATCCCCTCTTTCAGACCCCTCCCTGTCCTGGGACCTCTTCCCTCGCTGCACTCAACCTGGAAGGCAACCTGCTCGCCTCCCCTCTTCCCGCCCACGCTCAAGGGGAGGGCGAAGGACATCACGACCTCCGCCCCTGCCTCCAAGCTTTCCTGGGCCCCTCCCTTCGCCATCTCTCCTTGGCCCATAACCCTTTCATAGGCAGCACGCCCGCCTCGGCGGCCGCCCTCGGTCGGCTTGTCCAGGAATATCCGGGTATCGAGCATCTGAACTTGACCGGATGCGGGTTAGGGAGGACCAGGGAGGAGGAGAGTGTCGGGGTGATGACGGGGAAGAAGGTTGCAAAAGTGGGATTTCAGCTTCCGGTCATGCTCGCCGAAATCCAGCGGCCATTAGCCCTTTCCTCTTTGTTGCTGCGGGAGTGTGGCATGCACCTGTCTTCGTTGCAGTCGCTTTGCCACGCGAGCGACGTCTTGCGGCAATTGGCGACGGTGGAAACGGACGGGCAGGGAGGAGAAGAATGCTCGGCAATGTTCGCGAGCCTCCTTGCGTCGCTGACAGCGGGGCAGTTGCCGGGCTTGAAGGCCGTGACCTTTTTGTGCCTGGACGTGGACGATGATCTGGCATGGCGGCAGAGTAGGGTGGTGGAACGCATCGAGAGGCTGCGGCCTTGGATGAAGGCCTACGTGTCATGGCCGGTGGGACAGGCGGAGATGTCCAATCGAACAGGGAGGGGCGGCAGAGGGAAGTCGGGCGAAAGGAGATTGGAGGAGGAAAAGACACGAAGGGAGGGGGGAAGGTCGGAGGAGTGGGAAGGCTATGACAGCGGCGAGTATGACGGGGGTGCATGAAAAGGGTTGTGGTCCTTGAAAGATCGGCAATGTTGCTGGTGTCAGCACGAATGCAACGACAGTCGAGGAAGCTGTCGTCTGGAATGGTGTTCGGGTTCCTTGTGCGCATTGCTTACATGGAGGAATCTAGGGGTGACGCCCCGGCAAAGTTTGTCGGGCGGTAGCATCCAACTCGAAGTATACATGGAAAGAAATTATCGAAAATTTTGTGGATTGTGAGATGAAGCAGTCTTCTTTTCCTAGAGACTCTTCTCCCCCAGGCACCCATAAACGCGCAGGGAAATACTCTGTATGAGTTAGTTAGTTGAGATTAACCTCCCGGCTTGGGAGCAGCTACCTGTGAGCTGACAATTAAGGTCTGTAGCTGTCTCGTGTTCCACGTGCATGTACTAGCTATGTTTTGAAAATGATGTTAAGTATGCTGCTTGCATTGGTTTTGCTGGAGGTAACTGGGAGGAATGAGACATTAATCGACCCGCAAGTCAGAGAAGCATAACACGAGCGGGCCCTGCTTTGTTCGCTTTAGATCGAAGGTGTATGGGCAAAATGGCACGTATTGTATTTCAAAAAAGTACGCAGTGGAAGGTGATATTGTGTAACGACTTTAACTTTCTAATTAGACCCAACATGCTAGGAATCTTGGACGCGCGCTTTACAACCTCGACCACATGGTTTCCCCACATAAAACATGTTCCAAAATCCTTCATCGTTTCATTCTTATGAATCTCCTCATTCTAATTCTTCTACTTTCCCGTGCATCTTTCACTTTGTAGCGGAATGGCTTCTCGTAAGGACACCGCCCACCGCAGTGTTAGCTCACTCCTCTTGGCAAGTGCACCCCTGCTCGTCGCTCTTTTTCTAGGTCTTATCCACAGCATGACCAAACCATCCTTCCCCGTCCCTCCTTCCGGGTCTGCAGTGGTGATCACTGGGAGCAGCACAGGCATTGGTCGGCATTCCGCCGCAGGGTTGGCGGCAGCAGGCTTCCTAGTCTTTGCCGGCGTCCGGCGAGTACGGGACGTGGAGACCCTCGTCGAGGCCTACCCCGGTCGCGTCTTTCCTTTGCTTTTGGACGTGACAGATCATGACGGAGGGGTGATGCGGGCGGCAGAGGAGGTCAGGGAGACCTTGGAGGACATGGGGGGCAAGGTCAAGCTGGCTGGACTCGTGAATAATGCGGGGATCGGTGAGTTCGGGCGCGAGTTTGACGTCATGAAGTCTGCCATACTCACGCGTTCGAGTTGGACGGACTACAAGCAACTTTGACCACTCTGCGATGCCTCATTTTCGTTCCTACTTGCCTCAGGCTTGGCCATGCCCTTGGAACTTTTACCTCTCTCTCGCCTTCGCCAGGTCATGGAGGTCAACGTGGTCGGCCTCTTGGGCGTGACACAGGCCTTCCTTCCTCAGCTCCGTCGGGACCAGGGACGGATCATCAACGTGGGCAGTGCTGCAGGATTTACCGTCCCAGTCACGTACGGTGCCTACTCGAGCAGCAAGTACGCCTTGGAAGCGATTTCAGACGCCCTCCGTCTCGAGTTACGGCCGTGGAGAATCTCCGTGTCGCTCCTCGAACCGGGAACGATTGAGAGTGAGATACGACGAAAAAATGTCGGGGACGCCGCGCCTTTCAAAAACTTGACCGAATCTCAGTACGTTTTATACCAGCAAATATTCGACACGTATGAGCAGCGCGTGGATGCCCTTGAGCGCGCCGCTGGCTCTCCACAATTGACAACAGACGCCATTTTGCATGCTTTGACGAGTTCTACACCTCAAAGCCGTTACGTACTGGGAGCGTATCAGGGTCTGAGTTTATGGCTGCTTCGGCATGTCGTATTGCCGTTCGTTCCTGACTATCTTTTGGACTGGGGAAAGATGAAAATGATTGACCTGGCGGTTAGACAAGAAATGAAGAAATGAGAAAATGGAAAAAGAAAGAAAGGTCACCATGTAGTGCTTCTTTGTGATGCGGGAGAGCGAGGCAAGGCTCATGAAGGTCAAGGAACATCGGGCTTCCCCTTTGAGGGAGAACGTTGGGTCCCAGAAGCATCCAAAGTCCCATGGAGCAAGTGTACATGAAGCACACAATAATTTTATACACGGCTTTGTCTCGCTGACCTTTCAGCATTATCAAAAGCGCGGCAACCCAACCTCCTTCCTCCACATCAATTTGCTCTTCACTAAGACGCCTTTTTTTTAAACTTTATGGGAACCGAACATCAACAAAAAGTGTCATGTTTCAAAGAACTGGATAACCATTTTACAATCCCAGGCATTTAAAAATCACGCCACGCGGCATGGTTTTCCTGGCTTCTAGTTTTAAGGGCGTTTTTCAAACCTCTTTTCAAAAGACCGTTATTTTCCCATCCCGACGCAAATTCAAGGATCGGCCATCGCACGTAAAATGTAGACACATCCCTCAAGCTCACTCCATAATTCTTTCGTAGGCCTTCTCTTTGGCCGTGTGCCCGTATTCCAGACGATAATGATGAGCACTCTTGGCTTTTGGTAGCCAGGGAATCTTTAGAGACATTCCCTCCGCCGTGGCTTCCGAAAGTCTTATGGATCCTTCCACTTCGCCACCTCCCCCATCGTCGCTTCCTTTACCACGGCTGGAAGCCTTTTACGTGAAAATTCGCCTGATTAATTGTGTTTTCGCCTTAGTCGGCCTCGTCTGCGCCCTCGTAGTCGTCGGTCGCCTTCGAGGATGGCATTTGTTACGTCGGAAGGCCTCCTCTTCTCAGGCCCCGCCCCAACCCTTCAAAGGCACGCTTGCCTCCCTCCTTCAATTTCTTGTCCTCCGCCTTTTCATCTCCAACGCCGTTTACACCGGGTCCTTCCTCCTTGTCTCTATCATCGAAGCCATCTACCTCCACGTGCACCATCTTTCCCTCGCTTCCTACCAACACTCCTCTGCCGGGACTCCCCTGGACTCAACCTCCCCTCCCCCTTCCTCCGACCCATTCCCTCCTAATTCCTCCCTCCTGAAGTGGCAAGCCCTGCACACACACCTTCTTTTCTGGCTTCAAGAACTGGCCATCATCCCCGCCGTGTTCCACG